AAATCTATAAAGACACGGTGCAGATCCACATTATGTTCATATGCTTTCTCCAACATGTGTCTGACAGAAAAGATGTGGTCCACGGTTGATCTATTTTCCTGAAACCACACTGATAGTCTCCACAAACAACCAAGACACCAGTCTCTTAATAACAATTGACTGTACTTCATATACAGTTTGCAGCAGCTCTATTCCTCTGTAGTTAGTGCAGTTCAACTTGTCCTCCTTTTTAAAAATAGTGTCCGCTCTTGATGATCGCGATGTCTTGAGTTCTTCATGTAGATCGTCTTCTGCTCGTTTATTTGTTGACCACGAGCTGCTACAGCGGTCTCAAATTCCTTTTAATGCACCTGTCAGGGCTGGAGACGTCCTTGCCACAATCTCTACGTCATCTGCGTACACCATATGTTGGGTGCAGCGGTCAAAGATGGTACCTCTCGGGTTGTTTCTAATGGTCTTTGCCGCCTTCTCCAAGGTCATGTTAAAAATGGGATTAACCTTGGTGTCTCCTTGCATTATTTCCGAAACCACAGAGAACTCCTCAGACAGCAATTCTTGTAGTTTCACTCTGCATCTGGTATCTGCCATAGTCATTTTTATCAAGCGAGTGAGCTTCTTAAATACACCAAGAGAGAGGTGACCCCTTATCAAAAGCTATCTATACACTTATCCACTATCCACTTGAGTCGTATGCCTGCTGAAAATCAATGTAGAGCTGATTCAGGTCGACGTTGTATTCCAGTGACTTCTCTAGCACCTGTCGGGCGGTAAAGATCTGATCAATAGTCGATCTACCCTTCCTGAAGCCACACTGATATTCGCCTACTTCCATCTCTATGCATGATATCAGTCTCCTACCAATGACAAAGGATAATATTTTGTAAACTATGCCAAGCAGTTCTATGCCTCAATAGTTCCTGTACTCTAGCTTGTCTCCTTTCTTATAGATTCGACATAGGACCGACACTTTCCACTCATCTGGGACTTGTCGAAATTTCCCAAGACATTCATACAGCCACGGACAAGCAGAAACTCACCATCCTAACTGTCCTTGACTTCTCCAAATCCTTCGACTCAGTAGACCACAAAATTCTCCTAACCAAACTTAAAAATATCTCCTTTTCAACTAGTACTCTTAATTGGTTCCAATCCTTCCTTACCGGCTGCTCCCAATATGTTGTAGTCACCAATAACCTCCCATCAGAATCTTTAAGCTTGTCCAGAGGTGTCCCACAAGGCTCCTCCTTATCTCCCACCCTTTTTTCCATCTACATCAATGACCTTCCATCCTATATCCTACACTGTCAATACCATCTGTATGCCACGACGTCCAGATTTACCTCTCTTTTAATCCGATCGAATCCTCTGACGCCATCCAAAAATTACAGAAAGATATAGGCGGAATTTGTGCCTGGGCAAACCACAATAGAATCACTCTAAACTCCGAGAAAACGAAAGCTATCCTGATCGGAACTTCCTCACTTCTCAAATCCTTACCGACACTCCCCAATCTTTTCCTGAACAACTCACTTATTTCATTCCATACTTCTGTAAAAAAACCTTGGTGTTACCTTTGATCAAACTCTCTCCTGAAAACCACACATCTCCCAAATTTCCCGTCGTACTGTCTCTATCCTGTAACAGTTTAACCGTCTCCGCTATCTCATTCCATATAAATCCCGACAACTCCTGGTTTCCTCCCTTGTGTTCCCCCACTTCGACTATGGCTGTCTGGTGTACGGCGGAGTCTCGGGAGAATTCGAGACCAAACTTAAACGCCTGATGAACTGCGCAATACGTTTTGTTTTCGGAATCTCAAGAGATACGCTATATAACCCAGTATTACACCAAGTTGAAGTGGCTCTATCCATCCAACCGCCGTCTATACTTCCTTACTACCTTCCTATACCAAGCCATCAGAACTCAGCGACCTTTCTATATTTTTCACAGCCTGCAATATAAAGATTCCATTCAATCCCGTCCCACTAGATCCCGTACTTCTGACCTCTATCCACCTCCTCACCGAACTGCTGCGTTTGACAAATCCTTTATAATTCAAGCCGTCTCCACCTGGAATACCATCCCTCCCGATATCCGACATGCGCAATCAGTTTCCTCATTTAAATCCCTCCTTTGTAAGCACCTACTTCTTTCCCAACCCGATTGATCATGAAAAGTAGATAAGAGAACTTTTTGAGTTCCCCAAAAATGGTTTTGTTTAATTATGTTATTTTATTTTCACATGTTTGTATTGTATATATCTGTAAGTATTTAGTGGTTTTGTTTTATTTTTCTTCCAATATTTTTATTTTAATGAGCATTGTAAATATTTAATTTAATTTTATGGCCACACAGGCATTTCCTCTGTGTCTATAATTTGTCCTAAAGGGACAAAAGTCCCAGGATAATAAAAATCTATTTTCATTTCATTTCATTTCATCTTCTTTCATTCGTATATCATAAATAAGTTTATGGAGCTGATCTCAAACTTTATCTCCGTCATACTTGAAAAGTTTCGCCTGGATTCCGTCTTTGTCTGGTGCAGACCCTGCACAATTTCCATTATTTCCTCTTAGTCGGGGAGGAGGGGGAGGGGAGAGGTCGTAGTTGTCTAGAACTTTGGATTCAAGATCTGCTTCTATTTCACTAAGCCTTTCTACATTTTCTGTTCTGTCTCGACTAAGCAGCTCCCGATAATGCTGCGCCCATCTGCCAATAACTGCTTCCTTTTCAATCACATAATTTCCCTCCTTGTCTTTAGCAAAATTAAGACGAAGTTTATATCTCTTCTTAACTTCTCTTACACCTTTGAAGAAACTTCTGGAGTCCTGTGCATCGAAGTTATTTTGCATTGCCTCTAATTGTCTCTTGTCAGATAACCTTTTCTTCTGAAGACATTTATTTTTGGTTTCTTTTCTTCCGCGAGGATTATCGACGCGGTATTAAAAGATGCACAAAAAATGAAAAATGACTGTGCGATAGTTTTCCTCGACGTTGTCGGTGCTTTTAACTATGTTGGCCACAAACACACCGTGAGCTCCTTAGAAGCGAGAGGTGTGTCACCGAATCTTACAAATGTCATATCGGCTCTCCTTAGCACGAACACTATAAAAATTAATAACGGTGTCCATGCAACTAGCCAGATCAAAGTGTTGCGCGGTGTGCCCCAAGGCGGCCCCCTGTCGTCTTCACTCTTCAACCTGGCCATCAATCATCTCTACCGCGACCTGTGCGATGAGGACTTTTCCAAGAAATTTGGATACAAATTAAGGAATGAGTAGGATTGTGTGGTCCTCACAGGTTTCGCGGATGACGAGGCTGTGTCGGAGCGAGACAAGGGGGCTGCAGAAAGAGTGCAGCATCCAGAGGACATTTAAAGAAATTGGTCTGGCTATAAATCCTCAAAAAAGTATGGGCATCGTTGTAAATAAAGGAGAACTGGAAACTACGGTGCTCTCCCTTGAGAATGGTGAGTACATCCAAACATTGAGGAATGGAGATACGATTAAGTATTTAGGATGTATATTCTCGGGAGAGCTACAATACAATGAAGATTCGGTGACTAAATTGAATGATAATTTAACCTCTAACCTGTAAGCTCTTGCTTACTCAAACCTGAGAAGAAACTCAACATTATCAATCAATATCTGTTCCCGGGTCTTACTTACCCTCTCCAAACTGCGCCCCTAACAAAGCTGCGTTATGGCGTCCTGGTAAGGCCATTATTGGACTCCCTGCGAATACTTCCACAGCGATGTTGTATGCCCCCAGGAGATACCGAGGATTAATCCGCTGCCAATGGGAGGCTTCTCTTCAACATTGGTCCATTGCTCAGCGACTGTCCAATGTACCAGATGCCCTTTTGCAGTCTAACTTCGATTATTCGGCTGAAATTACTGAATGTGCCGAGAGATTAGGGGTTGATCAGGGTCATCGAAATGTGAAAGCTCTACGGCAGTCGCTACGAGAAAATGCATTTGAGGAATGGGCCAATTGCAGGTGGCAGGATATTGGTGTTCGCCATTTTAAAGAGACCCCGAAAGCGAATAGATACATCTACGAAAAGCAAGTACTTTCTGGGTCTGAATGGTCGAATGCCCTAAAACTAAACATTAATTATGCACCCCTGCGTGGATTCCCAGGAGTCAGCGGACAGGTCGGAGAAGTTGGGTCCCTCTGTCATAAATGCGGCAGGGAGTCTAAAACACCAGCCCATGTGCTGGGAAAATGCCCCAACAACTCCCTCCTCATTTCCCAAGTTCGAGTTGATGAGGCTCCTTAGGGAAAGGAAATTCACCTGCTTTGACGAGATATATTGCATCGATAGTGAAGGCTCTACGAGATACGCGGATATCGTCGCATTTCCCAAGACAGGAAGGACAGCGCTAATCTTGGATCCAACCGTCCGCTTTGAGAGCAATGACCTCGATCAGGCGGATGAAGTGGAAAGGGAAAAGAAGAACACGTACGATAAATGTATCCCTTTCGTAAAAGAATAATTCCGTGAGACCTTCGGAGAGAGAGAGTTCACCGTGAGAGGCCTCTGGTTTGGGTCTCGCGGAACTATCCCAAAAAGAACAAGGAGCTTCCTCGAGGAACTAGGTGTCGACATTAAGGACGTAGCGAGGTTGGCTGAAAATATAGTCCTCGACTCCCTGGGAATCATTCACCACCACGTGCATGGTGACTAGCCCGAGAGTTTTAATTTATGTATTTATTTAATGAATAATTGAAAACAATAGAGATAAAGAGAGAGAAGTGAGAGAAAGGGAAACTAAACGTTGAAAAAAAAAAAAAAAAAAAAAAAAAGCATGAACATAAGTTCATATATTGTCCTAAGGATAGAAGAGTATGCTGTGTATATAGCAACCCAATATAATTGGGCAGCAATGCTTTATATTTTATGACAATAAAGTGTTTCTCTTTCTCTCTCCTTAAATTCTTGGGCAACAGCTCTGGTAAGCCGTTGAAGCTTTCTCCTCCTTGCATTCTTCATGATACTAGTGATTTCTTGTTGGTTTCTGAACTTCACTAAGCTCTTCTGCCGCTGCGGTCGCAAGGGTTTCTTTCATCTTTATCCAACTTGAGTCTATGGTCAGTACTTTGGTGATTGGTGAGATTGTCTGTAATATTGGTTAGAAACCTCTGCCTCACATTTTCTTCTTTAAGACGCTTAACGGCAAATCGGACTGCAGGTTTCTCAGGTCTCTGCCTGGTTCTTATCGCAATCTTTTGTATGTATGTCCCCTTCATCAAATGATCGTCTGAACCACATAGAGCTCCACGAAAGCTTCTCAGTTCTGCACATTTACGTGTCTCACCTGAATCAACACATGGTGAATCTGGTTGTATGTTTGCTCATCCGGAGATACTCAAGTCTCCTTGTGTATATTCCAATAAGGGAAGTAGTTACTGCTGACCGAAATGTTCCTTTTCAAGGCAAAGTATACTATTCTAAACCCATTGTCATTGGTTTCTTCATGTTTACTGTGGAGCCCTATGGTGGGTCTAAAGATATTTTACTTACCTATCTTTGCAATAAGGTCGCCCATTACGATCTTCACATCATGACCAGGCATCAAGTCGTTGGTTCTCTCCAAGGCTTCATAAAATGCATCTTTTATATCTTCATCGGCATCTTTTATTGGGGCATGTACACTAATTATTTAGATGTTATAGAATCTCCCTTTTAATCTAAGCGTGTATATTATCTAACTTACGGCTTAAAATTCCAGGAGGGGATCGTTTGTTGCATTCCTTAGCATGAACCCATTTTTTTTATTACGCAAGTGTCCACTATTGATGAGTTGGTAATCCTTCAGCTGGACCATTGGAGTGTCCTTTCAACCTATCTATTGTATAGCTGCTACATCCACACCATCCGGAAACAACTCTGCCTCAAGATTACGAATCGTCACGACCTGGAAGAGGCTCCACACATTCCACGTCGATAAAGTCGAGGATTTGCCTAGTCCGCGCTTGGGTCGTACCAATAGATCATTCCGGCATGATCATTTTTTTGTTGATTTTTCGTAACAATATATTTTTTATGAGACCGGCTCGTTAGCCAAATGCCCAACCTCCACCTTGGAGGACCTTACACATTCCCTAAAAAAAAATAAGAGTCCTAGTGAACCAATATCACCCATTGCTGTCTACATAATTCTTTCCACCAGTAGCTGCCCGAACCCAACTCTGCCAGATCGACCGTAATGAAATCCTCCAACCTTTCCTTCGGTATACACTTCAGATGCTTCCCAGTCGGTACATAGACATAGTACATATAACCTTTTGGATATTCTTTTGTTAATAAGCCCAACTGTTTTAAATTTCCATTTAATTTGTTTGCTTTTATTGAATAGATGGTCATTATACTGCAGGAGTTAATAACCACTTTCAGGGAATAGTAAGGCAATTGCTCATTGTAATTTGTAGGTAATAACTCGAGCTAATAAGTTAATTTTAATTGAGAATGTAGCATTTACAGATTATTAACTGTTTAAATATCCTGCATAATATAATTATCTTCATAAGAAATACACACATACATATATTAATAAATTACAGACAGAGAAAACTATTCTGCGTACCGAGTACTGGCCTGGTTTGAATACGATGAATTCAATCACTACTGTCGAATAAATTTGAATAAAGTACGTGATACTCGGCACTCACAATGGTTTTTCCAATCTCTTGTGCAGGATAAAGTTTTTAATGAACTGATTTTATATTCTTTTAGACATTTTGTAATTATAAATGGAGAGTTATTGAGTTATGAATAATAAATCATTTTAATTTAGTTTTGTAGATCTAAACTAATTGTTATACTACTTTAACCTGGATCAGGTATGTTATATTAATCAACGTTATTTCTAGGAACCATCTAATGAATAAAAAAAATGTATTAGTTTAAAAATTAATTCAAAGTTATATTAAACTGCAGAGGAGGCATGGTAAAAATAGTTGCACTTATTGTATTAGAGTACATTACTTTTTATCTACTTTCAACACCCATAAACATTTGTTGAATATTTAATTCTAAAATAATAAATTATAAATATAAGTAATAAAATGGTCAGCATTAGTCAAAAATAGTTATTAAAATTAACAATAATTATCTGACCATTATTAAATTATATTAATCCTAAGCTCTATAATTTTGAATAATCTGACCTTTTTATTATTTTATTCATATATACACATGTATATACATATATATAAAGGGTGTTTCAGGGTTAAGTGGCCAAACTGCAAAAATGAATTAAGGACCTATAAACAAGAAAAAAATTCCTCTGAAGGTATGCCCGAAAACATTTTGTTTAGGAGATATTCACACCTAAAGATTTTCGTTGTAATGGATTATTTACGTTATAAAACCCAATTATTTGTTCTAGCTACTTTATTATTAAATGTAAACATTAACATTCATATTAAATGTTGTTTAAAGGGATTTCCTTGAGCATTAAGACAGGCTCCGCATCTTTCTTCAACAGAAAGGCACTGGATATGTGTTATTGTTTTACCAGATTCAATTATCCTTCTTCGTAAGGAATTAAGGTCATTGACCGGACTTGCATAGAATTTTTGTTTAATGTCACCCCAAACAAAAAAATTCAGTGGTGTCAGGTTTGGAGAGTGTGATGGCCAAGCCACTGGGCCTGCACGGCCCATCCATTGCTTGGGATATGGGATATGGAATATGATTGAGCAAGTCTGGTAAATGACCTTAATTCCTAACGAAGAAGGATAGTTGAATCTTGTGAAACAATAACACATATCCAGTGCTGTTCTGCCACTGCTGCTGTTAAAGAAAGAAGCTTAATGCTCAAGGAAATCCCTTTGAACAACATTTATTATGAATGTAAATGGTTACATTTAATTATTAAAGTCGTTGGAACAAATAAAAAGGTTTTATTCATTTCATATAACGTAAATAATTAATAACAACGAAAATCTTTAGGTGTGAATATTTAAACAAAGCGTTTGCGGACATGTCTTCAGAGGCTTTATATATATTTTTATATATATATATATATATATATATATATATATATATATATATATATATATATATATATATATATATATATTTAAACAAATAATACTAACGTGTAACGTGTTTCTCATCCAAAATGATTACACAAGTGGTATAAATTTATGCTTTATTACCATCAAATATAAGCAATTTTCAGATTGATTGCATATGTTTATTTATATGTTTATAAATATAATGCAGTCATTTATGAAGTTATTAAGAGTGAGGAGAAGAATTAAACAAACAGTTGTGTCATATAACTCTTTGGTTCACTGTCTATCCATTATTAAAGTAATCCAGATGGATCATCTACCATAGATCAAGTACCATAGAGTACCAAGGTAATCAATAAAGAAACGAATTTTATTAACTAATTCATTAAAATTTACTAATGGTCAATTTTTAATATAATTAGGCTTTAATGAAGACTTAGATGCATTTAGATTGTTATTTTACATAAATATAATAGTAAATTTGATAAAAAAGAAATTGTTTGGAGCATGAACTGCAACCAGTAAATTATTGTAACAAAACTTAAATCACCAACTCAATAAGTTTCTTAGATAAACTTTCATTTGTATAAAATAAATTTATTTTTATGAATTGTTAAAATGTTCTTTTATTTTGTAATTTTTGCAAGATCAAGTTGATATCCTTCAACACATAAATCATAAGCAATTTTCTAATAGCTATCGAATCAAGTTGTATATATGTTTTAATGTTAAAACTAGCTACTGATGACTATTCAATTAAACAGAGTGTCCCACATTGATTTTCAGAAACACTCATTAGAAGTTTTACTTCATTAAGTTTCACTTTTTAGATATTGAAGTTAAAACATTATTAAACAGTATCCTTATTCAAAACATAAAATGGATGAACAAAAATCAAAATACAATGAATAAAAGTTTTATTTACAAAGTAGCTTTGTAATTGCATTGAACTTCAAATTAAAATCTCAATAGATAAAATTGTTTTATTTGATATGGCACTGAAAGTTGTTAAATTTTACTGTACATGATTTTTTAAATAATTAACAGGTCTTCAAGTTTCTAATTTGTTTAACATTTATTTAATACAAATTTATTAAATGAAAATGTGATACCGATTTCAGTAATTATAATAGTGTGATTTACAAAATTGGAAAATCATCTTTATAATGATCTCAAATTTTGAATATAGTTAAAATATTAATATATATTGAATTAAATGTACCTATTAATCAATTTTACTATATCTTTTTACTTTGATGAAACCTATTACTGAAATTGCTTATTGCTGATATGACAGATTTATTATATATAAATACATAATGATTTTAAATTAAAGAAGCTTATTTCATAAAAAATATGTTATTATTATGTTGAGGAAAACCTTGAAACAGGGACAGACTTGACCAGTTGGTTTCTGCAGTGGGTAAGGATCTTTCCCCCCCACTTACTTGGTTTTTTAGACTCAGCTGGGATGTAGCAAAAGTTAAATCAAGCATAGGGGAGGTGTTACTAGCCTCCCTGGCTCGATTGAGCTCTTCTTCCATAAGTGCAAGAGCCTTCTCCAATGTGGATATCCGAGCATCCTTCGTCTCAAGGATTGCTGTCAAAGTGCTATTTGTCTGGGTTCCTTCACTTTCTCTTATCAGCCCCTTCTCCAGCTGCATCTGCAGCGCTCTAAGCGTTTCATTTGTTGTCTTTAACTCCTAAATTAATAATAAAAATAGACAGATATGCCATGATTTTTGAATAAGTTAAAGATAATTAGCAGAGAATAAGAAACAAGTTTTGTAAATTTAATGTTAACAATATACAATTTTTTTCTTTCCCATTTATTGTATTATTGAATCAATGACAGCAAACAACAACAGCTACATGAGTGACTTTTCCAAATTAGAAGCTAAAATAAAAATATTTAATTTTTAAACTAATATGGGCATGCATTTTAATCAATAATAGCTGTTCTAAAGGCAGAACTGAACTATATTGCTCGAATTAAACCTTTAATTTAGAATATTACACAATCCTTCTTCGGTGCATACTATTTATTTTCAAGTTAATTTATTATTAGCCATATTTACACCAATTTAAAAAAAATGTATGTCACTTAATGACTACTCATCAAAATGATGACGTTTCGGCTCGTCGAGCCATTTTCAAGTCTAAAAATTTTTTTTCATTTACAATCATATATTAACTTTAACATATTTCAAATTATAAAGATACTTATTATGTACCTAAAATACCCATCATGTACCTGTCATTTTCACTTATGCGAATTGCAAGCGTCTACTCATAATAAAATTCCTTATTATTGTCATGTTCACCTTTAATTATTTAACAACATTATTATTACTCAATTCTTTACTATTAAATGATTCAAAATAAGTTAAATTTACCATGTTTCTGAGTCACCCACATGTCATCCATCTCATTTCTATTCAGTGACTGGTTATTCTTATAGGGGTAGGGGAAGACTATTTATTATGAACATATATAATGCTGTTACTCAATATTACATGTGGATCTATTTTAAGTAATATTAGCTGATTTATTTCAAATTTTGATTTTTTCAATAGAACTAGCGTAAAAAGTATTCATATTATCCACGTCTGTATGATTATTTACTGAGTTTTTTAAGTTTTTAGTTATGTATATTGATTCTTTAATTCTACGTTTATTCGTATTTCTTTCATTATGTAGGATTTTGGCATTTTTGAAATCAAACTCATGTTTAGTTTGCATATTATGTTGCGAGAGTCCAGTAGCTAATTTAATTTTTGTGTTTTTTGAATTAAAATTTTGTTTATGGTGTTTAAGCCTTTTTTCAAACCATTGGGATGTCTGTCCAAAATATGCTTTGTTGTTGCAATTCTTACAATTTATTTTATAAATAATATTCGTTAATTTATCGATAGGTACTTTATCTTTAGTTTTCGAATAAATTGTATCTAATTTATTAATTGGTTTGCTTCCAAATTTAATTTCATTTACATCGTATTGTTTAAATGTTCTTTCAATTTTATCAGTTAAGTTTCTAATATATGAGACGCTAAAATATTTTTTAGGTTGTTGTTTGTTCCCATTACATTTTTCAATTTGTGTCTTAATGTCATGTATATCGTTCATGGAAGGTTTTTGTTTTACTGCATTTTCAGTTTTAAAATAATTTGTTATTAAATTCGGTTCTTTATTAATTTTAATATTTTGCTTCACTTTCTCACTCCTATCATCGCTAATATCAATAATCTGTTTGTTACTATTGTCATTTATAATTAACTTTTTATTTTTATACCATAATTTATTTATTAATCGAATGGGGTACCAATTTTCTAATAGAATTTGATATATTTGTGCTTTGATTTCTTTTATATGATTTTGATCTGTTATTAATTTTGCCTTATTTATTAAATTTTTAGCTGTGTTAATTATTATATGTTTCTTGTGGTTACTGTGCCAATTTAGGATTCTATCACTAGTTATTGTTTTTTTGCACCATGCCGTGCTAAGATCGCCGCTTTCGTTTCTGTGAATATACATATCAAGATATCTTATTTTGTTGTTATTCTCAATTTCCATTGTGAATTTTAGTTTATCTGATATATCATTTAGTTTATCAAGAAAATTAACAGATTCATTTTTATTTATTATTGCAAGTATATCGTCAACGTATTTTATAATAAGCTTAGGTTTTTTTCCCCATTTAATTATAGCATTATCTATTAGATTGTTCAGATATATGCCCGAAAGATTGATTGACATACATCCGCCCATCGGTAGACCATTTTTCATTTTGTAATAATTATTATTATAGGAGAAATAGCCATTTTCGCAAATTAATTTGATTCCTTCCATAAAAACGTTTTTATCTTTTATTTCTGTGTACGGTTCTATTTCATCCCATCGTTTTTCCAGTATTCTATATATTTTATTAAGTGGAACATTCGTAAAAAGGGATTCCGCGTCATAGCTTACTAGATTTTCGTTTTCCTCTATCCTATTTATACTATTAATTTTTTCTTTTACTTGCGTTGCATTCTTCACATCGTATATATTATTATTGTTTAAATTGTTTAAGGCTGAGTTTAGGAATTTAGCCAATTTTTCAGTAATGCCATTTATACTATTTACAATTGGTCTAAGAGGTCTGTCATTTTTATGTAATTTGCTCAGACCATGTATTCGTGGTATTGTATAATGTCTAGTTATGAGTTTTTCTTTATCCTTTTCATTTATAAATTTCATTTTCAATAATTTATTTATATATGTCAAGGAATCAAATTAATTTGCGAAAATGGCTATTTCTCCTATAATAATAATTATTACAAAATGAAAAATGGTCTACCGATGGGCGGATGTATGTCAATCAATCTTTCGGGCATATATCTGAACAATCTAATAGATAATGCTATAATTAAATGGGGAAAAAAACCTAAGCTTATTATAAAATACGTTGACGATATACTTGCAATAATAAATAAAAATGAATCTGTTGATTTTCTTGATAAACTAAATGATATATCAGATAAACTAAAATTCACAATGGAAATTGAGAATAACAACAAAATAAGATATCTTGATATGTATATTCACAGAAACGAAAGCGGCGATCTTAGCACGGCATGGTGCAAAAAAACAATAACTAGTGATAGAATCCTAAATTGGCACAGTAACCACAAGAAACATATAATAATTAACACAGCTAAAAATTTAATAAATAAGGCAAAATTAATAACAGATCAAAATCATATAAAAGAAATCAAAGCACAAATATATCAAATTCTATTAGAAAATTGGTACCCCATTCGATTAATAAATAAATTATGGTATAAAAATAAAAAGTTAATTATAAATGACAATAGTAACAAACAGATTATTGATATTAGCGATGATAGGAGTGAGAAAGTGAAGCAAAATATTAAAATTAATAAAGAACCGAATTTAATAGCAAATTATTTTAAAACTGAAAATGCAGTAAAACAAAAACCTTCCATGAACGATATACATGACATTAAGACACAAATTGAAAAATGTAATGGGAACAAACAACAACCTAAAAAATATTTTAGCGTCTCATATATTAGAAACTTAACTGATAAAATTGAAAGAACATTTAAACAATACGATGTAAATGAAATTAAATTTGCAAGCAAACCAATTAATAAATTAGATACAATTTATTCGAAAACTAAAGATAAAGTACCTATCGATAAATTAACGAATATTATTTATAAAATAAATTGTAAGAATTGCAACGAAATTAAAGAATCAATATACATAACTAAAAACTTAAAAAACTCAGTAAATAATCATACAGACGTGAATAATATGAATACTTTTTACGCTAGTTCTATTGAAAAAATCAAAATTTGAAATAAATCAGCTAATATTACTTAAAATAGATCCACATGTAATATTGAGTAACAGCATTATATATGTTCATAATAAATAGTCTTCCCCTACTCCTATAAGAATAACCAGTCACTGAATAGAAATGAGATGGATGACATGTGGGTGACTCAGAAACAAGGTAAATTTAACTTATTTTGAATCATTTAATAGTAAAGAATTGAGTAATAATAATGTTGTTAAATAATTAAAGGTGAACATGACAATAATAAGGAATTTTATTATGAGTAGACGCTTGCAATTCGCATAAGTGAAAATGGCAGGTACATGATGGGTATTTTAGGTACATAATAAGTATCTTTATAATTTGAAATATGTTAAAGTTAATATATGATTGTAAATGAAAAAAATTTTTTAGACTTGAAAATGGCTCGACGAGCCGAAACGTCGTCATTTTGATGAGTAGTCATTAAGTGACATAAAATTTTTTAAATTGGTGTAAATATGGCTAATAATAAATTAACTTGAAAACTTTTAATTTAGTTTTTTTTCCATAAGAAATTAAAATTGGTAAACCCATTTTTATTATTTATAAGGTTAATTAAAAAAATAAATTTAATAAGGGCAAAATAATAAAAATAAGCATTATAGAATATGGCTTATTTATTTTGCAATAAATCATTGAAAAATTACTGAAAAATATAACATTGGATTATATTTTTATTGTTTTATGAAATCATCTACTAAATGATGCACATTAAAAAAGTAAACTCTTTTACTTAGAACAGTAATATTTATTTTATCTTGGGCACTCAATACAATGATTCTAACATTTTATTCACACTTCTCTGCAGTTTTTATATTGAGTTTTTGAAATCATTACAAGTACTAGAAGATTTGAAATTTCAATTGAAATGAACTAAACTAATATGAATTAAGGTTACTAAACCTTCTAATCAAGATTAATACTGATTTTAGAATAATGTAGATATTTTACATATAATATAAGAATTTCAATATTAACTTAGTGTTAATAAAAACTGTGAACAAAAGTTTGACTTTTTGAATTTATTACCTATGGTGAAAATTGAAATCAAATTTATTTTTTCTTAATTTTAGTAACTGGTTTTATAGTTTGCAACAATTTATTTAAAACCCTAACAGCTGTCAGATAGTATTAACAAAACTATTTTTGATACTTGTCGGTTAGCTGGATAGGACCAACTGCTACCCGCCAATGTTTATAACCTCTACACTGATAATTCTGATAAGGCACTAATAAGGCTTCTCATAATTCTTCTCATCGTATTCATATTTA